TGACTGTGAACTTTATCAGCTCTTGCTACTGTGCTGCTTGAAAAGCATCTTCCCATAGAATCCATTGGAAGCTGCCAGAAGGTGGCGGTAACCTTGACAGCTCTGTCAGTGCTATGTCACTTAAGGCATCCTCCTATAAATCTTCTTAGAAGTTGTTTTCCCATAGATAGAAATATCGCACACTGCACCCTCTTCACTGCACATGGCCCACCTTCAAGCCTCGGTGACCTAATGGGGGTGGACCCCTCACTGCACACGGCCCTTGCCTTCGTGGGAACAGGCCCCTTGCTGCGCGCTGTCCACCTTCTGGCCTAGGTGACCTAATGGGGGTGGACCCCATGTTTTATTGCTCACAGCCCTATCACTATCCTTAAAAATGATTTCACTCACTGCCCTGCCCCCTAACCTATACAGAATAAATACTCATTCTTCTGGACATTCGGGGCTCGCTCACCAGCCTCGGCTTATAGGTGGTGTGGCCCCCCGAGCCCAGCTGCATTTTCTTTGTACTTCTGTGTCCTGTCTCTTTATTTCTCAGATCATGTGCCTCAGCACAGCATAAGGCTCATCCCACAACCCGGTGGGGCACTCAGCCCTATATCGGGCTCCAAACATGCCCTACACTGACACTGCTGACTTCAGCACTAATTATAAAGCTACAGTAACCAAAGAGTACGGAAATTTGTGAAGGAAGAAAAAAACAGACAAATAGGTCACCAGAAAAGAATACAGAGCTCGGAAATAGACTGATCTTTGAGAAAGGCACAAAGGCAATTTAACAGGGAAAGGATAGTCTTTTCAACAAATGGTGCTAGAATGACTAGATATCCACACGTGAAAAATAAATAAATCTAGACACAGATTTTACACCTGAATCTTACACCTGGATCTTACACCTGAATGTAAGGTGCAAAACTGTAAGACTCGTAGAAAATAACATAGGGGAAAATCTGGGTGACTGTGGGTTTAGCGATGACTTCTCAGATACAATGTCAAAAGCACAATCCAGGAAGGAAAAAATTGATAAGCTGGACTTCAATAAAATTAAAAACTTCTCCTCTGTGAAAGACATTGTTAAGAAAATGAATAAACAAGTGATACACTGGGGAAAAAACATTGGCAAAATACAGATCTGATGAAAG